ACTTCCTATTAAAATTATTTCTGAAGGATCATGTGACACTGAAGACTGCAGTAATGATGCTGAAAATTAATTTACAATGAATACATTTTAAAATATATTACAATAATATAATTTTTTTTTTTTTATTGTAATAATATTTCACACCTTTAACTGTATTTTTGATCAAAGAAGTTGATTGATGAGCATAAGAGACTTATGAATTACATTCAGACTTTTTCCAGATAGCAATGGCATTTAAAATCGAACTTGCATAGCTAGACGTGTCTGTTCTTGTATGCTTTGTGGACTAGTATTTTGTTAAATGAGTTGTAAAATAGAGTGACATCATGCAAAAACAACAGACAGATAAGCGCACACTTTATGAAAATGAATTCCTGCTTAAAAAGTGTTACCAAAGTTCCTTATGCACACTGCGTTCATTTGATCAAAAATACAGTAAAAACAGAAATATTGTGTATTTTTGTGAAAAATAAATAATTAATAAATATTCTTAGCGACCCCAAACTTTTCAACAGTTGTATGTATGATACTAATTAATAGTAATTGCATAGTAAATTAGTTACACTTTATTTTGTGGAGACATTGTTACAGTGTAATTGGGTCAAAGACAAAATGAGGTTTTCAAGCATGAAAGCAATAAAAGTTTAATACAGCTTTACTTTTTTCTTTTCTTTTCTGTACATTAGAATGTGTCCCGTTTAATTTTATTAACAATAGTTCATATACTGTACCAAAAAATCTTGTCAGTCATATTTAGTACAATAATCATTAGATGACATTAAAAAAAATTTGCTTAATGTTAAACAACTACATATACTGTCGTTAGGGTTAGTTACTTGTAATTATGCATAATTTACTGTTACGCTAGTACATGTAACAAGTCAAGTCAAGTCACCTTTATTTATATAGCGCTTTTAACAATACAGATTGTGTCAAAGCAACTGAACAGCATTAATTAGGAAAATAGTGTGTCAATAATGCAAAATGACAATAGTAAACACAAATTTACAAAGCGAGAGAAAAAAAAAAGAAAAAAGCAATAGGCACGAATGGAAACGCTAATGACAAGCTAACGAATGCTAACGCGCTGCAGATGCGCTGCACGCGGTTTTAGAATAAAAGCGAACGATCAAATTAATCAGATTAGGTTGATAGATAATATCAGAAGTATGGTGGGAATTAAGTTATATTTTATCACTTTAAACAACAGAGAGTAATAGAGATTTTACAGAAAAACAGAGCTACACGAAGCTACAATGACAAACCAGCAGCACTGCAAACAGGAAGCAGGAATAATACTCAAACATGTAACTATGTCACCCTAACATAAAGTGTTACCAGAAATCATAGCATATAATATGAGAAACATCACAAGCTCCTATAACAAGATAAGAAAACAGCATATCTATCATGTGTGATTGGTTTTCTTCAGGTCCCAGATCAGTATGGCACTATTCGTGCAGTAGCTGAGGGCAAGGGCGAGCAGTTTCTGGTGGGCACTTCACGCAACTTCATTCTGAGAGGCACCTTCAACGATGGATTTCAGGTGGAAGTGCAGGTAAACCAGATCTTTTATCTCTCGTGTAGCCTTATACTCTTAAAAATAAAGGTTTCAAAAGGGGGTTTTGCAGTGATGCCATGGAAGAACAATTTCTGGTTCCCCAAAGAAGCTTTCAATGAACAATTCTTAAAAGAACCTTAGGCCCTGTTTAGACTAGTGTGTTTTCGTTTTAAAATGGCATTTTAAAATGAAAACGATCCTCGTCTACACTGGCGTTTTCACTGCGTTTCAGAATCTCCATCCACAATCCAATCGTTCTCTCCTGTATCAGTAGCCAATGAGCTCGCTGCTCAACATTCAAATATATGACTAGTGCTTGCCGTAGCAGTGCAGGTTGCTTCAGAAACCCCCCACCTTCCCCAGCTCCACCTGTATAGATCTGCTACGAGGTGATTCATGTATGCTATATGGGGGTTATTTCATGTTTGTTATATTTGCAGCAGCAATAATTCTTACATGCTCACAGCAGCATGTTGTGTATGTATTGGCAGTAGCAAGTCTCGGTACTTGCTCTGCCGCAGCAGCAGCGTAGCAGATCTATTCCGCCAAGACCAAATACATTAACATTGTCATGTACATTACCATGCCAATCCCTCCGAGAGTTGTCATGACAGAACCATAGATATGTATAGGTAGATTCCCTATGTTTTAGATGATGGACACGTCTGCGTCTATCTATGGGTACAACAATGAGCATGATGTTATCGTTTACACGGTTGTCAATGATACGCAGAGAGAATGTGGGCAGCCACGCCATCGTTTTCAAAAGTCTCCGTTTTGCTCTGTTTACACGGAAACGCAACCCCGGAGTTTTCAAACTAAAACGGGATCTGCAGCGTCTCAGTTTTCGAGGGTCGAAAACGCTGGAGTAGTGTAAACGACAGGTGTAACCGTAGCAAAAGTTATACATTTTAAAATGGAAAAAGATGCAATCCCGCACACTATCAATACTTGCTAAATATTGAAGTTTATTGTCACAAGCACAAGCAATGTTTTAGTCCACTGACCTTCATCAGGCATATGCTTTTTATATTTTTGATTCGACAGTGTTGTTGGACTATTTTTCCTATGCACCAATCGTTTCTTCAGGTGTGCTGAGTTTGTGTTGAATAAGTTTTGAAATGAAAACGCACTAATGTAAACGTAGCCTTAGTGTGGTTATTTTAATGATCTGAAGAACCTTTTTCTATTATAAAGAACCTTCTGTGGAATGGAAGGATTCCATGGGTGTTAAAGATTCTCCATGGAATGCCATAAAGAACCTTTTATTTTTAAGAGTGTCGTGAAGATCAATAAGCTTTTTTTCCCCCACAATCCTCAGTAATCCCAATAATCTTAATCTCTCAAATACATAGGGTGTATGCTTATCAAACATGCACTTGTACCTGCAGTCACAGTTATAGAGTTAGTTTCATGGGACTCTCTATTTTTAGGGACACACGGATGAGCTGTGGGGTCTGGCCGCCCACCCGTTCAAGGAGCTGTTCCTCACCTGTGCTCAGGACAGACAGGTGTGTCTGTGGAACTCAGTGGACCACACGCTGGAATGGACCAGACTGCTGGACGTAAGACTCCAACAAACACACATTTGCACGTATACAGTGCTGTGAAAACGTTTTTGCCCCCTTCCTGTTTTTGTTTATTTTTTGCATATTTGTCACACTGAAAAGATTCAGATCATCAAACAAATTTTAATATTACACAAAGATAACCCAAGTAAATACAAAATGCAGTTTTGAAATAATTATTTCATTTATTAAGGGAAAAACGCTGTCCAAACCTGCCTGGCCCTGCGTGAAAAAGTAATTGCCCCCTAAATCTAATATCTGGTTGTGCCATCCTTTGCAGCAACAACTGCAATCAGGCGTTTGCGATAACTGGCAAGGTGGACTTGCTGGTGTGTTTGGGATCATTGTCCTGCTGCATAACCCAAGTGTGCTTGAGCTTGAGGTCACAAACTGACGGCCAGACATTCTCCTTCAGGATTTTCTGATAGAGTGCAGAATTATTGGTTCCATCCATTATGGCAAGTCGTCCAGGTCCTGGAGCTGACCAGACCATCACACTACCACCACCATGTTTGACTGTTGGTATGATGTTCTTTTTATGAAGGTTACATAAAACATGATTTTTCTTTTTATGAAATGCTGTGTTGGTTTTATGCCAGATGTAACGGGACACACACCTTCCAAAACGTTCAACTTTTGTCTCATCAGTCCACAGAATATTATATTACAAAATTCTTGGGCATAATCAAGATATTTTTTGGCAAATGTGAGACGAGCCTTTGTGTTCTTTTTGGTCAGCAGTGGCTTTTGCCTTGGAACTCTCCCATGGATGCCGTTTTTGCCCAGCCTCTTTCTTATTGTTGAATCATGAACACTGACCTTTAGATGAGTTCTTTAGATGTTGTTCTGGGTTCTTTTATGACCTCCTGGATGAGTCGTCATTGCGCTCTTGGAGTAATTTTGGTAGGCCGGACACTCCTGGGAAGGTTCACCACTGTTCCAAGTTTTCTCCATTTGTGGATAATGGCTCTGACCATGGTTCGCTGGAGTCCCAAAGCCTTAGAAATGGCTTCATAACCCTTTCCAGACTGATACATGTCAACTATTTTGTTTCTCATCCGTTCCTGAATTTCTTTAGATCGCGGCATGATGTGTTGCTCTTTAAGCATGCTTCACTTTGTCAGACAGCTTCTATTTAAGTGATTTCTTGATTCAACAGGTCTGGCAGTAATCAGGCCTGCGTGTGGCTAGTGAAATTTAACGCAGCTTTCTAAAATGATGTGGTTAATCACAGTTCTTTCATGATTTAAGAGGAGGGGCAAATAATTTTTCACGTAGGGCCAGGTAGGTTTGGACAGCTTTTTTCCCTTAATAAATGAAATTATCATTTAAAAACTGCATTTTGTATTTACTTGCATTATCTTTGCGTAATATTAAAATTGGTTTGATGATCTGAATCTTTTAAGTGTGACAAATATGCAAAAAATAAAAATAAAAACAGGAAGGGGGCAAAAACCTTTTCACAGCACTGTATATAAGCAACATGTAGATAATAAGGACTTTGTAAAAGAGCATAATAGGACCCCTTTAAAAAACAGGAAGGGGGCAAAAACCTTTTCACAGCACTGTGTGACTGTCAGTGGCCTGTTAAATATTGCAAATATTAATAATGACAATAATAATAAGCACAATACGCTAACCTTTCACCAGGTAATATAGTTAATCGGCTTCGTTAAAGGTGGCCTTAAAGGGCATAACCACTAAACGTTTCATTTTTGTAACTATCAAAACAATCCAGGGCTACAGTTCTCTGTTTGGGACTTCAGACTTAATTTCACTGGTTACTGGCATAAATTATGGCCCAGTGCTTTGTTCTTTTAAAAAACCAAAGACAGCTTGTTTGTTGATTTTGTGAAAACTTTCTATTCGTCTAGATGTAATCCGTACTGAATATTTCTCAGAAAACAAAGCGGAATAAAGAGATGTTGGGGAATTTGTTGGCAAATTTTATGGCACATGCCATGACATTAGTGGTTCTTGCAAAACCTTTTTATTAAGACATCAGTAAAAAGTCAGTTTGCCCAGTTTGGCAAATACATATTTTTTTTCACAGAATCATTTATTGTAACAGTGGTTACTGTTTTTGGACAGTGTGTCTCTGAGCTAAGACTATGGATTGTAGGACCTTGAAAGATTGAAAGATACACCGAATAACCACTAAATACCCCTTGTTATCTTAACTGTAGGCTGTTTACATTTGTATTGATGCAGTAATACAGTATTTAGTTGATGTATGTATATCAGGTTTTGTTTTCTTTTTTGTGACCTCATCCACACATTTAGAGCAGTGCTTCTCAACCAGGGGGCCGGGACCCACTAAGGGGCCTCAGCACATTTCCAAGAGGGCCATAAAATGGCTTAAGATTATTTTTAAAAATGCTTGCTTGCTTTTTTTTTTTTTTTTTTCTCTCTCTCTCTCCCTGTATAAACAACTGAATTTAAGAACCAAGGTTCCCAAAGTCTTGGAAAATCTGGATACTGTATGTGAGGGAAGTGTGATGATTTTTTTATTTTTTTTTTAAACTTGAAAAAGTCATGGAAATTTCAATAATAAATTTGAATTTTTGTAATTCAAGTTCTAAAATGTTTATCAGGTAGAAAAAAAAAAAAAAAGTAAAGTAAAGTCTGGAAACGTCATGCAAATGCATTGGTCATTAAAAGTGTAAATTTGAAATGCATTCAGTTCTTGAAACACTTTAAATTATAGAATTTTTTATCATTTATTTGAATGCATTGTCACATCTAACGTCTGTAAAAGTTTAAAAACAAACAGCTTTCATTTCAGCAGAAATATAGAAATTAGAGCATCTGCATTAGACCCAGAACTTTCAGTTTTATAATAGAGTCCCGTGTGCTTTGAGTGTGACAGTACTAATGTGTTTGTGTGTTTTTAGGAGCACGGGCACTGCGCATATTTCCATCCTAGCGGTTCGGTTGTTGCCATTGGTACTCACTCAGGGAAGTAAGTGATCTCTATATCATCTCTATATCAGGTTTACATGAAAAACTTTACCCAAATTGAACATAAAAATGCTTTGACGACTGTAGTTCAGAGATTGTTTTGTATGTGTTTTAGGTGGTATGCTCTGGACGCAGAGACGCGAGACCTGGTGGCCATTCACACAGACGGCAATGAGCAGCTGTCATTGATGCGCTACTCTGTCGGTGAGTAGGAGTGTGGTTTGTTTGCATACTCTGTATTTTTTTTTTCTTGCATTTCTGTGCCGAGCAGACAACCAGACGTCTCTGTGTCTCTCCTCAGATGGCACGCTGCTGGCAGTGGGATCACATGATAACTTCATTTACCTCTACACGGTGTCGGATAAGGGACGCAAGTACAGCAGATATGGGAAATGCACTGTGAGTATCTGAAATTTATGTGACTGTTTGCATAAAACAGCTCAGTGGATCTCAGGCGCATTGAACTCCCGAAGCTTTACTACTGTGCTTGTCCTGACACTGACTGATAGAAAATTTCCACAAAAAAAAAGTAATTTGTTGAAAATTTTACCTAAAACCTAAGGTCATTTTATTTATTGATTTATTTATTTATAGACATTTAAAAATATATATTAGAAACAAAAAAGAATACAAAGAATTTGAAACTAGAATTTGAAACATGCATTTAAAACGTATTCGTAATCAATCCATAAATAATGCGTTTTGGTTAATCTTACAATTCACATAATTGTTTTATGGCTGTATTATTGACTATTTTCACTATTCCCCTTTCTGCTGGATCCGAGGGGTCAGGGAGAGTGGAGAAAAAAACTTTACCATGCGTGACCGTTTGCCCATGTCTGACCTGGGTCTCGTTTCGCTCGGCTGTACTCCATCAACACACTCTGAATCACACCACTGTTCTTCTAATTTTTTTGTTTTTTTCTGTGCAGTTTTTCAGTAGTTGAGAAGTTTAATGTCATTAACATCTGTGTTCAATCATAGAGTCATTCTCTGAAACGGGTGCCTTACAGAGTACATTTGTGTAGATTTATACGCTCTGTCAGACAAATAAAAAAGTTCTGTCATGTACTAATATATTGCTTTGTGAATGCTTTGATAGACTACATTTATAATTCATTTTGAATTCAAGTATTTTATTTTAAAAAACATTTCTATGTTTAGTGTTCTTCATTAAACATGATGGACACACAAATGGTTCTCCTTTCATAGAACAACCCAATTATGAAATGACTAGCAGAAATGAAATTATTTCCACATAGTCAGTTTTTGTGAGTGTCTGTCATTCGACAAGTCCTAAAGAGAGTGAAGAAACGCTGGTTGTGAAATGGCTGAAGATGTCAGTGTGATTTTAGCGGACAGAATGAAAGCGAGCTTCCAGAGGGAATTCAGACATTGTGGGAGCGCTGGCCTGTGGTTTTATTGATGCTGGCAGACGAATCGCTCATGTGTCTGTCAGCGTAGCTGAACCATGTTACTCACAGACAGATGAGAGCAGATGAACACATACAGTGGCCACAAAACGTACTTGGACACATAAGCAAAACTTTAAAAATATCAAACGGAGTGATTAATTGTAAAGAAAAAAGCACAAAAACACATTTTCAAGAAAATGATCACAAAGACTACAAATCACCAAAACATCAGCTTATTAAAAATATTTGAAAATAGCTAGTTACTGAGAAAAGCTCCAACAGCATTTGAGTGCAGATGACATGGTTTAATAGTTTATCGATGCAATTCATAAGAGATTCATACATTTTTACATGTGACTTAAATGTGCAAATGCTGTTGAGGTCAAAAATTCCAAGCAATGCACCGTTGAGCTATAAACCATTTGCATTACAGTGCAGCCTGGGAAAGTTTGCCTTTTAATGAACTCTTTCGACAGCCATAGAAAGGAAGTTCAGGATCTAGGATAGTGGAAACTGAAAGCACATGTCAATATGTGTATGAAAAGCTGGAAATGGAGAGACAGGTGATCTTTGTAATCTACAGGGGGGACTCTGTGTGCAGATGGCAAGCTTTCACAAACGCGAGACTCTTTAAAACACGTACACACACTCACATGTATGTGTCAGTGCACATATCCCATATCCCAGGGAAGCCTGCGGACAAGTCAGAGCCAAGTCAGACAAACTGAGATTCCCTCCCTGAGCTGTAAGTCAGACGGTATTATTTTGTGTCTCTCTTTGCTTTGGGTGGAGACCCTCCAGCATTATTTATTGAGACCACTGAGTTCAGTCTTTGACGAAGCCTCTTTTTGTGCTATTCCATCCCTTTGATTAGGTGTCAGTGTCAGTGAGACGCTCAGGCTCTTGTTGACGCCGTCTCATTTGAAGAGGGTTTATTTGTGCTTTTAGATTAATTGATTTTTCAACTGAACTTTTGAACTCGTTGCTTTCATGTATCTAGGTTAAAGAGCTAGAGTACCTCGGAAATTAAATTGTTCTTATTTTCTCACTAATGTGTTGTTTCAAACCTGTAAGATTTCCTTTAATGGAAAACAAAGTTAGATATTTTGCAGAAAGTCCGATCAGCTGTTTTCCATACAAATGAACATTCACTCTCTAAAGTTCCAAAAAGGACAACAGAGCACCATTACAGTATCATAGATGTAGTACAAATGACTCACACACATCATTTCAAGTATTTGAAAATGATTTAATAATTTTGGGTGTGGAACAGCTTGAAAATTGCTCTTGTTCCATTCTTACATGGTGCTTCAGGATGTGGTGTTCATTTGTAAAAAAAAAAATAATAATAAATAAATAAAAAAATTCAAAAGTGCTCCTTAGTTTACAGTATTTGGTTACACTTTATTTTGATAGTCCACTTTAGACATTCTATTAACTATAAGTAACTTTGTAACTACATGTCAACTCCATCTGAACTAATTCTCATTAATTTGCAACTACATGTCTACTAACTCTCAGAGTAGACTGTTAGGGTAGGTTTAGGGTTAGTAGAATAAGTTGACAAAGAAAGTGTTAGAAGATATTAAGCAGACAGTCTACTAATACTCTACTAACTGCTAGTTGACATGTAGTTGCAAAGTTACTTACTGTTAATAGAATGTCTAAAGTGGACTATCGAAATAAAGTGTTACCCAGTATTTTTTTTTAAAAAGAGTACTTTTTTTCTCAGAAATATACTTTAAAAGAATACTCAAAGTTAATGTAATGTTTTCAGACAATTAAATGCATCTCAATTATTATTCTTATATTTTATATTGAATGCAGTTAGCTGGACTTTAGAGTTTAAGTACATTATTGTATGTAATTTCATATGTATTACTTGTATTGTCAATGAAATATGGTTAAAGTGTACTGCCAAATGCATTTTTGGTAACCTAACAAACTTTAATGTGATTTCTGTTGACATTTTTATGTATTTGAATATATTTGCAATTATACATTTGTAATGATGATATTACCATTTAGTACAACATCAAATAATTATAATCAAGTACTTTACATGTGCTTTAAGTATGTTAGTCAACACATCAAAATAAGTGTACGTCTTTAAAGCACAACAAAATGTGTTTTAGTCAAATGTCATAATTTAATCATTTAAAGTAAAACTCTTTAATATTTTAAGATGTACACTTAAATAGCCTTTTATTTCATTAATATTATATTATTTGCAAGTAGAGATTTTATGTGCTTGTAAGATTAGAAGTACACTACAAATGCACATTCAAAACAAATAAGCGCATTTCTTTTTCACAAGAGTTGCAGACATTGAAATGTTTGCTTACATGTTTAATGAGTAACATCTTAAATTTTGGTCTTTTCTTTGAACAAAGATATTGTGCGTCTTCTGATGTCTGTATAGGTTGAATGTAAATTTCTAGTGCTTGTTTTTGTCCTAAACAGTAGGAATCACTGTCAAAATCATTGCAATGAACAGATGATCTTAGATATTCCACAAAATGTCTGCATTCGTGTTCAATTGAAGATTTGAGCAGCTCTGTGATCTGTAACAGTTCAATTCGGATTATTGAAAATGTTGTGACAGAACTGTTTCCTTTTCTCCTTTTTTTTGTCAAATCTTTTCATCTCTGTCCTCAGGGACATTCCAGCTACATTACACATCTTGACTGGTCTCCCGACAACAAGTTCATCATGTCCAACTCAGGAGACTACGAAATCCTTTACTGTAAGTGGACGACCGCAACAAGCCCTCTCTGGCTCGGTTTCTCTGAAAAACATTCATCTCCAATCGTATTTGATTTTTGTCTCATTGGTTTGGTAGAATACATCATAACTGATTCAGCTTGTGGTTTGTGTTTGCACTTTTTTTGGACCAAAAGAACTTAAATTTTGCACCATATCCCAGATTTTCCTGACATGTTGTTTTCCCTCTTCCACAGGGGACATTCCAAACGGTTGTAAGTTGATTCGTAACCGTTCTGAGTGCAAGGACATCGACTGGGCCACATATACCTGCGTGCTAGGATACCACGTCTTTGGTCAGTATCTGTGGTGCATTGTGGGTGTTATTGCTAGTAGGGGTTCAATACCTACTGTATAGTACCCACTGCTGAAATCTCACCGCCTACTAAGGGTCTGTCACTGAATGACAATGTGAATCAAACTTGTGACTAAAAATTTGCTAGAAGAACGCTTGCTTTGTGTATTATGAGTAAGTGTGCTCTGTGTATGCGTGCCTCGTTTGGTTTTTCCAAATGTGTGGCTGGTATTTGAACTCTTTGCTCTATTTCACATTCATTTCCTGTCAGTGGTTTAGTCTTGAAGGGGGTCTTAGTCATTCTCTTTCTCGCACACACCAACACACGTTTGCTTGGCAATCTAAATGAGGACATACCAGACTTACTTTAACTAACTTTTTAATGAAAATTTTATGTTTATCTGCTTACCCCCAGGGCATCCAAGATGTAGGTGACTTTGTTTCTTCAGTAGAACACAAACTGAGATTTTTAACTCAAACCGTTGCAGTCTGTCAGTCTTATAATGGAAGTGAATGGGAATCACGGCTTTGAGAGTCAAACAAACATACACAAACAAAACCAAATTAAACCCTGCGGCTCGTGACGATACATTGATGTGTAAACACACGAAACGATCGGTCCGTGCAAGAAACTGAACAGTATTTATATTGTTTTTTACCTCAGATTCACCGCAATGTCCTAACTATCCTGAGCGTGGATCGCAGACTTATTAGTGCATTACCGCCACCTATCTCTCAAATGGACCATTGACACTCTATCTACAATCTCAGCTAGGAGTGTCAATGGTTCCATTCACTTGCATTATATGACTGACAGACAGCAACGGTTTGAGTTAAAAATCTTCGTTTGTGTTCTACTGAAGAAACAAAGTCACCTACATCTGATGCCCTGGGGATAAGCAGATAAACATCACATTTTCATTTTTGGGTGAACTATCCCTTTAAGATTTGTCATACTGTGGGGTTTTACCTGTGCCCAGGAATAGAACCTGGTAGTGTCCGTCTGTAGCGGTGACCTGGTCCACAGCTATAGAGGTGTATTTGTAATCGGCATGTGTCCGCACCACCAGAGGTTTCCTGCCGACCGGGGATTCCAAAAATTAAGTACTTGTAATTAGATTATATTACATTTTAAATACTCGTAATCAGACTATAGTTAATTTTTATAGATTACATGATCACATATTATTCACAAAATAGCAGTAAATTATTCATAAGGTATTGATTTGCCCTAATTCTTTTTCTCTCTTAAATTTTCCTCTCTAAAAAAAAGTCCTACCGCTTAAATTAGAAAGTATTTTCAGGTTTTATAGACCTGCACACACCAGCCAGCTGGCAGAAAATAGAGACAGAAAATAGAGAGGGTTTAGTTTAAAGGTGATTAGTTTAATTTGACATTATGAATTATTATCTTTTCATCGCTTTGTGAATGCCCTGCATTTCATTTATGATCCCCTGTTTGGGAAACCCTGTAATGTTTAATGCACTTCATGATGTTGATAAAGATTGGAAAATATTTTCTTACAGGTTCGGTCAAAAGTAATCTAAAAGTAATCAAAAAAAAAGTAGTCAGAATACATTACTTAAAATATGTAATCAAAAAGATTAAATTACTAACTATGATTTCCGTTGTGTAATTTGTAATCAGTAATGGACTACAATCCGTGAGTAATCTGCCCAGCACTATAGATAGATAGATAGATAGATAGATAGATCATAAAAAGTAATCTGCATTTTGTAATCAGGTATATGCAAATTAAGGCTTTATTGTATTTAGCTCATTTCTATGGGCAAATTTTGCACATCACCTTTATTTATAGTCTGATTGTCAGTCAGCTGTTCTCCCTTTGCAGCATATTTCATCTCACTTTCCTTCTGTTTTTGCAACTCTTTGTCTTTATACGCACAATTATAGTCTGTCGTTCTAATTTTGCTCACATTCTGAGTGACTTCATGTCTAAGCAGGGTGATTTCAAAAACCAAAAGTTGTTCAGACCACAAACTCACTTTATCTGTCAGCATAGCGTGCCGTCTGGTGTGTGCAGGTCTGTAATACTGGAGCACATTCACACAGGGTGCTTTTGAATACAGCCAGCCCAGTCCTGACCACAACTCCACATATTTTAGCACTTTATTAGACTGGAAAATATTTGGTTGGATTGTACAAATTCCCTAGCACTGAGCCAATAGATTAGAGCAGTACAGTGAATGTGATATTACAGAAAACTGTGTGTGTGAGATTCTTGTACCTGGTGTTCTTCTGCCTCCTGCTGGTAATCTCATTGAAGGCTCCTAATCCATTCATGATCATAGTTTTTGAATGTGATGAGGCATCTACTGTATGTGCTTATAGATATTATAGTGGCGTGGTCAAATATACCTTCCCTTGTAACAGTTAGTAAGGATTTGATGTTTCTTTTTGCTACCAGTTAAAGACGGATTTTAACGGAATATTAAATTACTATCAACATGCATTTATCTAGCACAAAAATAAATACATTCGGATTTCAACATCAGATTTGGACACATTCAATACAATGTGAAAATTAAAAGTTAAAGTATATTAAAATGTACTAAGTTAAAACATACCATATTTCTCAACATTATTTAACTACAAAAAAAAATAAAAAAAATATTGGGACTGAAGGACAATGAGTGATTACTTTTGAATGGAACCTCTTCATTGTGTAAAAAAAATAATGAACTGATTTACTAAAATGACTCCCTACATGATACACGATGCGGAAATTTACATGTCACTCCATCATGCTGTGAAATGTCAGTTGTTCCTGGAAAAGGTGATACTGACAGCCTACTGATAAATGTCATTATTAAACTGGTAGTGTTTTTCTTCTAGCTACTGTTGTGCACTGATGTGTCTTGGTGTTTGCTGTGTAACAGGTGTTTGGCCGGAGGGCTCAGATGGGACAGATATCAATGCACTTGTGCGATCTCACAACAGGAAGGTGATCGCTCTGGCTGATGACTTCTGTAAAGTTCACCTGTTCCAATACCCCTGCTCAAGACCGAAGGTCTGTCACGTCACTTTACTGTCATATTTTAAAGAGCGTCTTTACTTTTACATTTTAGAACATGATGTGTATTAGTTGTTAGTTGTTGCTAGATATCTGAAGCCAGATATAAACCAGTTTGATTCATGATTCATTGGTTTTTGTTTCAGTTTGTTTCAATATACTGAACAGCAATTTGATTCAGTACTTGTTCTTTAAGTTCTTTAAAACTTTAGTGAAAATCCTATTTTCATCTAATTTCCAAATGCATGTAATTGATCTTATTGTGAACAATTTATGCGTGAAATCGTTTTTTGACCTCTTAATTCTTGTCGTCGATCTTCCAGTGAAACTACAGACTTCTCTCTGGTGACATACGTCGGATTTCTCCAATCATTTATTCAACTTAAATTCTGCCCCTTTCATACAATTGACTGCAAATTCAGATCTGCCTCCACCCAGTCAACAGTCACTACACCTACAAGTCACTGTCCTACATTTGTATTTTTTGGTAATCCATTGTATGTCACAACTAGGGGTGGGCTATATACTGGTAGATACGATTAGCCGGTAGAAATGTGTCAACCGGTAGAGATTTTGAACTATCATCTCTATCGCAGTTATATACTCACATGATGTTGCTGTGCTACATGGTCACAAAAACCTATCGTTTGCACGTGTTTTTAATAGGGGTGCAGATTAACAGATTAAAGCGTTCACACGGCACACGGTTGAAGTCCGGCAGTGCGTTCCAGGAGCGGTCTGCAGCAGCGCAGCGATTGATTCCGCATCGAGTTTGCTGCACGCGCTGAATTAAAGTGACAGCGCATTGTTTGCGGTAAATAAACGAAAATGTAGTAATTACACCATAAATGCATATAATTAAAGTCTACTGTGTTTCACAGTCAACAAATATGGCTTGTTGGCTAGTTTTTAAGGAAAAGAGCACTTTTAGATAAAAAAAGGCAATAAAAGATGGCACTCACGGAGGTAGGAAAACAAAGTTTATTACAAGGATTGCTTGTAATAAAGATTTAAATGCAAAAGAAAAGGCAGTAGAGCTGACTGTTTCTGTCAGTGGTAAGTTTTAATTTAGAATGTTTGTGATAATGTAAGAAAAGTACTAGTTTAAATATTTTGCCACTTGCTTGAGCAACTGCGTTGTGCTGTGTGTAAGCTATTTTGCAACAATTGCAGGAGTGTAAAAACAAAAATGCACTGCATGATCAAACATTTAGGTGAGATAAATATATATTTTTGAAAAATCTCTCTCTAAAAAAAAAAAAATTATCCTCTCCACCCCTCAAAAAAAAAAAAAAACCCTCTCACAAGAGTCATCTATAAGAGGGAAATTCCCCCAATTTCAAAAATGAAATTCAGGCCCTGAATAAATGTCTAAAAATCCTGATTGGAGTATTACTGTAAATAATTCTACATGATAAAAATAAGGCTTTAAAAAGATCGGTGATCGTATCGGCAGATACTGCTTTATGTGATCGGTGATCGGCCTCAAAAATCCTGATCGGAGCACCCCTTGTTTTTAAGCATTGCTGTTTAAAATCAAGTGATTCTAAGCCATTGAAACACAATCAGCAGCAGCAAGAACTCATTTCGCTATATTCTTGCACTGTCTGAAGGACCATTTCTGAGCAGTTTCTGACCTTTTTTTTGTCAGAGAGACTGTTTCTGTGCACCGTCAGAGAGGCACGCGCACATGAAGACGGTGCTCATAGAGCGCGGGAGTAATGAACTGAGTTGTTTTTGCCGCTTTAGGCCTTGAACTGTTAAATAGACACACTTGTATGTGTCAAAATGCCTGTCTTTGCAACTATCTTTATCTTCTTCTTCTTCTTTCGGCTTCTCCCGATTAGGGGACACCACAGCGGATCATCCGTCCCCAACTATCTTTATAAACACAGTAATTTATGTTTTAAGTGAAACCAAACAGCTGAGAAAGAAAACACATTTGTAACAGACAGTATGTTGGATCCGGGCAGCTCTTAAAGTGATAGCAGTCTAATATTCCTGCTGTCTGTCATGTTAATCAAACAACAAAAGAGAGAAAATCTCTCACTGCTCTTGACTAAATCACTTTTGTAACTTTCATAAGAATTTGATTATATTATACACTGTATGTAGCATTTCTTATTCATTTGTTCTACTGTAGTTTTTGTTTTTTTTGTCCTATTGCTTGTAATTAGTTTCTTATTCTTATTTAATCGCTGACTGTTCACTTGTCTTCAGTGAGCTTGAGGTTTTATTTTTTATTTTTAATTTAGGCTAGTATTAGTTTTTGTGATATTGACACTGGTGACAAGAATTATGAAATTTCTATGGTATCAAAAAAATTTATATCATAAAGACCTTATTTAAAGAAAAAAATACTATTGTGATATATATCGTTATTGTGAAATAAAATTACTCATATCGGGATATAATATTTTTGTCATATCACCCAAAACATGAGTTGTAATTGAAGCCTGGGGGATATAATTTTCTCTCTTTATCTGATGTTTTACTGATTTTATTATTTAATTGCAGGCCCCAAGCCACAAGTACAGCGCCCACAGCAGTCACGTGACAAATGTGAGCTTCATGCAGAGCGACAGTCACCTGATTTCAACGGGCGGCAAGGACATGAGCATCATGCAGTGGCGTCTGGTGGAGAAGACCTCATCCTTGGTGCACAGCGACTCCAGCTTGGGCCTGGGTGTTTCCCTGATGCACAACTCCACCCCTCGCACCATGCCGTCGGTACCCAGCGTTCCCCACACTCCTACTGAGCCCTTGCCGGTCCCAGCCTCGCTTCCCCTCAGCACCCAACCCGACACCAACACTCCCCCTCCCACTCCCCCCGAACCCCTGCACACAGTTACTTCTAATGGACAGCAGGACGGCTCCCCTGAAACCCCGCCCCCTTCCGATGAGGCCACGTCCCCATCTGACAGCACCCTGAGCCCCAAGGACAGCCTAGAGCCTAGCGACGATACGGCCACACCCAGTGATGAGGGCACAATCTTTAACCCTCCCTTATAAGGCAGTCCGACCCCTTCCCTCGCCTGCTCGATAGCCCGCCCAAAGGCACCAGCATGTCACTGCAGCCTTCCTGTCAGATTACAAAAGCAGGGTCTCCTCAGTTTTTATCCTTTCAAGATTTTCTTTTCGTTTCGTATCTTAGTTTGTTATGTTGACATTCAGTAGATGTGGTTGTGGAGGCATTGGTTTGGGTTGGATGGTGAGAGATTTGGAATGTGTAATTAAAAACCTTTGGAAAGATTTAGAACACCTACAAGTTTACATTGAGACACACACAAACACTAATACACACATGCATAGACACATCAGTAACTGTGATACATTTTAAAAAGAGGAAAACAAACGATTTACCAGTTTTAGATACAAACAACATGTTCATATAAACAGACAAACGGACAAATACAACATAAAATGGACACATGCTTTCAATTAACTGTCATTTGGCATATACATCAATATATTAATTGATTAAGGATCAGCAACTAAGGGTGAATTGAGTTGAATTACTGAAACTTTTCCTCACTTTCCTCACCCAAAAAAATGAATGTTCTGTATTTATTTACTCGTCCTCAAGTCGTTCCAAACTTGAATGACTGACTTTCTTCTGTGTAAAACACAAATGTTAAAATATAAATGTTTTGAAGATGTTTCAAATATCTTTTCAGGATCTTTCGAAGATGTTTTGAGAATCTTTAGAAGATCTTTCGAAAATCTGTTGAAAATCTTTCGAGGATCTTTGAAGATCTGTTGAAGATCTTTCAAAAATCTTTCGAGGATCTGTTGAAGATCTGTCAAAAATCTTTTGAAGATGTTTTGAGGATCTTTTGACTGTTATTGTCCTTACAACATAAGTCAATTGGGCCCAGATCAACACTGGACCCCTTTGACTTTTATTCTTCAAAACATAATTTTATTTGTTCTGCAAAAGGCAAGTCAAGTCAAACAGGTTTGGAACAACATGAAGTTGAGTAAACGATGTTCATTTTTTGGGTGAACATGGGTCACATGATGTAGATGTAGATGATTTGTGTTCTCTAGCTCTCTGTGAACATTGGTGGAGGACTGCATGTAAAGCTGATTTGCGTGCTTGCATAGCATCTGTCCCTGAGCCAAAAACTACAGGACATGTATATCTGGTGATACCAGTCAGGTGCCCCTGGCTCATTGGTCAGACTCAAGAACCTCAACAATTCAAGCTGCTTCTGCTGGTCGTCATGGTCACGGACACCTTGAATTTCAACTCGGCAGTCATACTCAACAGCCATAAACAGCAGAGCAATTCATTCAGTACAAACACAAGTAACACACACTCACAAAAGCCTGACCTGCCTCAAAATGGGGTCTGCATGGCAATAGCCGAGCTATTTTATAAATTAAATAAAAACAAAACAATTTCAGTCTCAACCGCCTGTCTAAAGGTGCCGTACCACCCTCACATCTCTCAGTTTCCTCTGTTGGACTGGAGAACCTCCTCTGTATTCATACCATCCGTTTTAACCTTGCGTCCAAATGACTTTCTTCTCACTGAGACTGCATTGTTTTTAGGTTTCATTTTGGGACTGTTTTTCTTGTCATTTTTTTTTTTTCATTGGACTGAAATGTTCTTGTTTTTTATGGTATGAGAGAAACGGAAGATTAAACAAGTCTTAAATGTGCGTGCGTGAGTGTGTATGTGCGCGCGAGTCGCCGCTTCTTTCATTCCGCTGAAGGGTGATCGCCCTCTCCCTCTCTCCCTCACATTTTCTCAGGATCACTCTTTTTGGAGAGAATCCAAAAGAAAAAGAAAGTCAAAGGAAGAAATTATGTTTTTCCTCACTCCTTTCTGTAATGCTTAAAAAAACGGTACCAGAAAGTACCATGGTATTATTTGTACCATATTGGGCTAATTTAGGTAATTTGGGCAATGTTTTGACATCGACAGGATGGAATGTCAAGGTATTTGTGAATGGTATCATATTATATTTATAGTGATGAGATGGGAGGAAAAATTATATTTCAATGCTATTGCATTTGCATTTTCTCGCAAAAGTAGAGAGAAATTTTGCACTAGTTCACAAAATATTTGCATTTTCTCGCAAAACTGTTGCGTTCCCCTTAAAAACTTTGCATTCTCTCGTGAAACATGTTTTCTAAAAGTATTGCGTTCACCCAAGAAAGTTTGCATTCATTCGCAAAACATTTGCGTTTTCTCGCAAAACTATTGCATTCCCCTTTAAAACGTTGCATTCTCTCGTGAAACATGTTTTCTAAAAGTATTGCGTTCACCCAAGAAAGTTTGCATTCATTCGCAAAACATTTGCGTTTTCTCGCAAAACTATTGCATTCCCCTTTAAAACGTTGCATTCTCTCGTGAAACATGTTTTCTAAAAGTATTGCGTTCACCCAAGAAAGTTTGCATTCATTCGCAAAACATTTGCGTTTTCTCGCAAAACTATTGCGTTCCGCTGAGAAACTTTGTGTTTGCTTGTAAAAGAACTAAAATATAGTTTTTCTTCCTTAATTCCTAATATTATTTCCATCACAAAAGATTTGTGAGCGAACACAAGAGCATACAAAAGCATTGAAATATAATTTGGTATTACCATGTGATACCATGGTACTGCCTTTGTGTGTTCCCTCAACAATGCATGGAGATATGGATGAAAAAGAAGCTCATTGAAGATTAAACAGCATTCGGAGGCACCGATATCTTGAGATGAAGCAAATATTTTCTCTGAAATGAATCAATATCAGAGAAACACAAGAGCACAGCTGCTGAGAGAGATTCCCTCCAGTGCTGCTTGATGAATGGGAACCTAAATCATCAATATAACACCAGAAAAGACATCAAAACAGCTTTTAGAGGCAACCTCTACATTTTAAAGCATTGCAGAGTATTAAAACGCATTGCAGTCTCTGTGTACAAAGGCATGAGAAAGCATGGTTTACACGCTCAGATTTTAGGATGCGATGCTGTATTGACGTATGGTATTGAGAAGCCTGGTTCAAATACACATTTACAGTCATTTGGGTTTTCTTCCTTTTTTTAATTGTGAAAGAACGACAATCTCCTGTAATGTGTATAACAATACACATCAGCATTCAAATACTAAGTATTTTATACAACTGCCTCAAATTCATGTCTGATGTGTTTTTAGGTGATTTTTAAGTGCATGAAATAGATGTAATAGTGGATTAGGTGGTGTTAGCAACGACGGAATGATACCTGATTGTTTTTGTGGTGTTGGTGTGTTTATGCAACGTTTGTGCTGTAGACGGTGTTGAGTTGAATGTCCCTCAGCTGGTCTGCAGTTACCTTTTTATACATTTTATGAATGCTTTATGGACTTTTCCTTTTTTTTTAAGAAAGTTGGATGGTTTTCACTGAGATTGCCTTAGTTAGGTTTTCCATGGACTTCCATGTTTTTGTCCTATCCTATACAGTGGGAAAGCCACACTTAAAATGTATGAATTCCTTAGCAGAAACATAATACAGGCACACTGTTGAAGCAAGATATTTCACAAAAAGCATTTGAAGTTCAAAACGAAGACAAAAGTCAAATGTTAATGTGATAGTTTTTGCTTTGTGATTGCTTTTGATAGTTAATGTGATACTCTACACGAGTGAACTTGAGAGGAAAAAATCACCAAAACTCTAGCAATCGAAATTGCCAAACGGCTCAGAAAAGTGACATTTGAAAAGCTCGTTCATACTATTGAATCTGATTTAATAGCATTCAGACATTTGTAAGTGTGACTTGAGTATCAGAATACTTTTTGAGGCCACTAGCTTGGCTCTCCTGAACATCTGGACTCTTAAAACTTCAGGACACCATTGATATCAAAAGGGCAACTCTCAGAAGTTTTACACAAGTTGCAAACGAGGATGTAGATCTTTCACAGACCTTTGTTGTTGCATTCAGGGCTGGCTTTATTGTGTATATATTGGTGTACCTGTATGTATATAACTATTTTGGGGTGGGGAGGTTCTCTGAAATGCAAGGGCAATGATTCCATTTTTGTTTTCATCCACGAAAAAGCTGGGGACTGTTCTCCTGCAGATGCAGGTATAGTGGCCTTGTGGCATGAGTTCAGATTTTAGGATTTGTCACGCTGTGGCCTGGTTTTCTCTATACCTGGATATTTCTCAGTTTGGAGACTTTAGGGCTTTTCTGTAGACCTGTCACTTCCAAGAACGTTGCATACAGAAATGTTTTTTTGAATGTCACAGATTATTTGCCTTGTTATTTGATTTTGAAAAGAATGGTAAGTGTGTTGGTAGAAGTAACGGTGAAGGGTTTGGGTGTTTTGAGAGAGTTTTCAAAAACAAGAGTGAAAGTGAAGCTGTTGATGTCAATGTATTGTTGTTCACCGTTGAGGAGACTGCTGTTTGTGTTTTTATATCTGCTAATATCCAAGAGCTAATTTCCAAAACATACACAGGGAGAGAGAGAGGGAATGGAAAAGCCCAGCTGGTGATTGTATCTACACTTGTTGGAAATGTTGGGCTTGAGTACAGCTCTGGACTTCCTTATGCTTTGCTGTTTGCAGGGCGTCTGAGTATATCCTCACTGAATAAAGGTGCGGAGATTAAGCTAAGCTTTTCTGATAAACAGAATGACAGTTATGAAAACCACAATGATGATTCTGTTTATGCAACTGATTCAATGATGTTAACAAAATATGAAAAGGCCTTTTTTTTTTCTTGTTACAAAGTTTGAGCCAATCTGTCTCTTATGCATTCCTGCCAATGGGCAGAAAATACTGAAGAATTTAGAAAATAAAGAAACATTTTAAAAACAGTCGTTGTGTTGTCTCTCGGAGATGCCTGGAGTAATTTGTTCATTTAAAATTCTACATATATCTCTAATGTGAACACCTGAATGAACTTTATACTTTATCTCTTTAAAGGAATTGTTTGCCCAAAAATAAAAATAAAAAATGATGAAATTGTACTTACCCATAGCCATTTCAAGATGTAGATTAGTTAATGTTATTTATTTTTGAAACAGATTGGTAGTTTCATCTGAATCAGGAGCAGTGTTGCCAATTTAGCAATTTTGTTGCTAGATTTAGCAACTTTTCAGACTACCCTAGCAACTATTTCTTCCAAAAGCACCTAGCAACAAATTTAGCTATTTTTTAAAATTTATTTGGCAACATTTAGCAACTTTTGATAAGTGACTCAAACGATAATAAAGGCACACATTTTCCATCTAAATTACACAAAAAGAGGAAAACCAAAGATGCCTAGTAGTACACACATCACGTGACTTAAGTTAAATGCTATTTGCAATTGTTCAACAATAATTCAACGGATCTGCATGCTTTCTAATTGCTCTCGCGGTGCTTTGATGTCAAACACTGATCGAACTGCGCAGCGCCGCTTCAAGACGAACACACCTATTGTGATACACCTTTTTAGTAGCTTGTACCTGTGATTGTTGTTCAGTTAGTACACTATAAGAAAAATATCTAGAAAAATGGAAAGGGTACTAGTAATTTTCCAGGACATTATCCATTATCCATTATCCGTTGTAACTCTATAACCCGAAAACACAA